TGTCGCTAAAACCGAATACGATGCCCATTTGTTGCTGGTAAAATCTTCTGAAAGAAATTCTCAGGATATTTTCAAAAGAATGGCTCAAGTAGTAAACCCTGCCAATTTGGAAGTCTATATAAATAGTACAAGGAAGATAAAGAATGGAGTTGCCGTCATTTGCAACAAAAAATCAAATTTGGACAAATTCCAAAACGTTCTACAAACCCAGTTAGGAGACGAATACGTTGTCGATGAGGCAAAAAAACATAAACCACGCATTCGTGTGAAGATTGTTGAAATAACAGAGGATCTAAACAGTGACGATCAAATAATAGGTAGCCTATTTTGTCAAAACAACTTGGATACCTTCAATTTTTCGAATATAAAAGTGATCACCAAATTAAAAATGCGGAATGGCTGTGGCCTCATCTTAGAGGTTTCTTCGGAGGTCCGGAAAAAAGTAATGGTGCAAGAATACGTCTATATCGGTTGGAAGAGATGTGCAGTTACCGATCATCTTCAGATTGTGCAATGCTATAAGTGCTCAGTGTTTGGTCATACTGATAAGCAGTGCAGATCTGCATCTGCTAGGTGCCCTTCTTGTTCTGGAAATCATTGCTTAAAAGAATGTAAATCTACAAATAAATCATGTAGTAGCTGTATTAATTATAATAATTGGAAGAAGGAAAACATTGCAGTGGACCATTCAGCCAGGGATATGACTTGCCCTATGTACTTAAGGTACATCTCTAAATGAAAAAGTAGGATCGATTATGGTTAAGGTAAGCTCAGTGAAATTTGGACATGTCAATATTCGTTCCCTTGTACCTTCATTCACTGACCTGTCGGTCCTCATCAAAGAAAAAAAATTTGATGTATTTGCCCTCACTGAAACATGGCTGACTGAGATGGTTCCTTCAGATACTTTGTCTATAGATGGTTATACATTTCATAGGAAGGATAGAGACAGTAGGGGTGGCGGAATAGGTGTGTATATAAATGATGATATAAAGTGTGAACATATTTCTATAACTGATTATATTGGAGATGATCCATCAGTAATTGAACAATTTTGGTTGAAACTTCAATTCAAGTCGTCCTCAGTTGCCTTAGGATTGTTGTACAGACCTTCTAAGGCTAATCTCAATTCTGCAGTTGAAGCTCTGGATACACTTTTATCGCATTTGTCTACTGTTCACGACCATATTATCATATTGGGTGATGTAAATGTCAATTTGCTAAATCTAAGTAACAAAATATGTCTTTGCTTCGACTCATATTCTTTTAAACAACTGATTGACGAGCCTACAAGAATTTGTTCTTCTTCTATTACGTTACTAGATCCTATTTTTGTAAATTTTCCTGAATATTGGTACATTAAATGTAGATGTCTTCACCGATCATAGGTTGGTTTACTGTGAAGCATCTTTTGATAAACATCAGACCCCACAAAAAATTGTCACTTACCGTGATTTCAAAAATTTTCATCATAACAACTTTATGGCCGACTTACTGAGTATAAACTGGAATGATATTATTTGTATTCGAGACATTGATGACAAAGTGGAATTTCTAAATGATCTTATAATTTCTTTGTTTGATATACATGCACCGTTGCGGACAGCGAGGGTAAGCAAGCCCTTTGCTCCATGGTTAACGCAAAACTTAAGAGCTATTTTCAAGCAGAGGGATGCGCAGCTTTAATAAAATATAAACACAATAGGACAAATCAGAACTGGACAGAATACACAGAACTGAGAAATTATGCTCTTGCATCACAGCGTAGAGAAAAGGCTGGTTATCTTCAGCACTTACAAGAAACTAATAATTCATCTTCTTTATATAAGGGTATAAGGAATTTGAACATCCAGACTAAGAAGCGTAACCACATACCTGTTAGTTTACGTAACGCAACGCAGATAAATGATTATTTTTATCTGTTTTTGAAGATAATACTCAGCACTGTGCTAGTGAAATAGAATTTTATCATAATAACATACTTGATGAATCACTCAAATTTGATCTGGTCATGACGACTGAGGAAGATATAGGTACGCATTTATTTAAAATAGAATCTAATGCCTGTGGGCATGATGGTATTACGCCTAATATGATAAAACTGTGTCTTCCTGTGATTGGCAAATATTTAACGCATTTGATTAATTCTTGTTTGGAACTTCACTATTTTCCCTCTGCATGGAAGCAAGCAGTAATTGTTCCCTTGGCAAAAACTAATAACCCTTCAGCTTATTCCGACCTGCGCCCAATAAGTTTACTTCCGATTCTATCAAAAATATTGGAAAGGATAGTACATAATCAATTGAAAGAGTACTGCTCTGAGAATAACATAATTCCAAAAAACCAGTCTGGCTTCAAAGTAGGGAATAGCACCACCACTGCCCTGCTTAAGGTGACTGATGATATTGTTGAGGCTTTGGATCGGGGTCAAGCAGCGGCTCTTGTACTGCTTGACTTCTCCAAGGCTTTTGACACTATCAATCATTCACTTTTGATCTCAAAATGCAAATATATTGGATTTTCTCAAGCATCTATCAAGTTCATTACTAGTTATCTCATGAACCGTATGCAAAGCGTACATTTGGACAACTCATATTCGACATATAAGAATGTGATATCAGGGGTCCCTCAAGGCTCTGTTTTAGGACCGCTATTGTTCTCCATTTACATATCAGACATGTGTAAACTGATACGCTCCTCTGAAGTGATGATTTTTGCGGATGATACACAAATATGTAAAACTTTTGATCCAGATGACTCTGTAGCAGCTGTTGACGAGTTGAATTGTGACTTAGCCACTTTTGTTAGTTTTTCCAAGCATAGCTCCTTAACGATAAATGCCTCTAAATCTAAAGCTGTTCTCTTTGTACCAAAATACAAAATCATTAATATCAGAAATAACACGACAGTACGGATTAATGACACTTCTTTAGTTTATGAGGATCTTGCAAAAAATTTGGGTGTCTTACTTGACAAGGATTTACGTTTTCGTGAGCATATATCTAAATTAGTAAGAAACTGCTTTGTTGTACTAAAAACATTGTTTGTTAATAGGCATTTCATCAATTTCAAATTGAAAAAACATCTTTGTGAAAGCCTAGTTCTCTCAAAAATCAACTACTGTCTTATAGTTTTCTATCCTTACTTAGGTCAAGTCTCAATTCGCAGACTTCAACTGATAATTGTGTCAAACTGTATAACGTGCTACCTGACGCATTCAAAAATTTATCTCAAACTAAATTTAAAGTTTGTGTCAAGCAGCATTTGCTATCAAAAATGACTCGTAGTAGTAATTAAGTAGTAGTTTGTAGTTTAGATTAGTAACCGCCAGAAAAATTTTATTTGACGTGTTGCTGAATCTGTTTATATTTTCTATATTATGTCTTACAAGATTTTTGTTTTCCTTTGGTAAGCCACTGTATATATATACATGTTAATTACATGTATTTACATTGGTTCACAACCATGAAACTAATAGGGTTAAGTGGAAGAGTAGCTATTTAGCTAAACTTCGCCCGATACTATGTAAATTTATAAATAAAGACGATCTATTATTATTATTATTATTATTATTATTATTATTATTATTATTATTATTATTATTATTATTATTATTATTATTATTATTATTTAGTACGAAAATGCCTCGCATTTGAAATACTGCCAAGAAACGACTAATAAAAGATCTCCAATAGCTGGTGCGAGTCTATGATCTAGATGGAAGCTTGTTTTCTAGGTAAATAGGGTGCCCAGATTCTGAATTCGATGTCAGTGCTAGGACTCACGGTATCAATGTATCTAGTTTCATCCCAAATCCTGTTGGACGACACTTCAGAATTTTTTTTAAAAAACTATTTTTTTAACATCTTCAAAACCGTCAACTGGAATGAACTAAAATTTGGTATGTAGATTTACCCAAGTATTTTCCACATTCCAAAGTCTTTACTTAAAATTAACATGCACCAGTGGCGGAGATACAGGGGATTAGTGGCATTGTTTTTCCAAATAAAAATAGTACGCCACTGTTATTTTTCGAATTTTACCTTCAATTTGCTACAAATAATTAACCTTGTGTTTTTTGATAGAGTGCACTGTTTTCGTAAAAATAAAAATAAAAGAAATTAGATCATTCATGAAGGACCGAGATACAATTAGTTTCAGAACAAAATAGGAGGCCTTGATATCAACTTGGCTGAAGGTTTTTAATATTTTTTTTTATTTTTACGAAAAGAATGCACTCTAGAAGAAAACACGAGAGTAATTATTTGTAGGAAATTGAAAAATTGCCCGTTTAAAAAAAAACAGTGGCGTACTATTTTTAGTTGTAAAAATAATGCAACTAATTTCCGCCACTGGTTGACGTTAATTTTAATTAAATACTTTTGAATTTTTTTGTATACTGCAACTACCACGAAGGCCTAAGGCCTAAACACCCATGGGGTACCGTGGGGCTATAGGGGATATACAGTCAGAGACCGTCTACCACCTACCTACCTAAATTTCATTTCATTTCAGTTGATGGTTGCGAAGATATTTTTTATTTTTAAACTTCGATATCCCGTATCTTTTTAATCAAGGCGCTCAAGGAGAAAATGTTACATATTAGAGGAAGGACGCCTATTATCGGGTACCTTTTTAAAAATGTTCAGTAAAACTTTTCTATTCATTCCCAAAAGTTAATTGGTTGACATATTTATTGCTTATTGTTCCTAGTTTTGTTTCACAAGAGATAATTAAAATTAAGTAAACACAGTTGCTGTTATTCAGAAAATTCGTAAATGGTGTCATTTCCTTAAATTAAAAAAAGGTTGCCTAATATCGGGTAGTGTCGATTCCAAATATCGGGTGCCCGATATTAGGCTACAACTTCTTTAAAAAATGCAAAGTAGCAATATTAGCTATCTAAGATATTTTATTTTAAAGTAAGACACAGGAGAATACAAAAAATAAAATAACTATTTCTCAATAACCAGAGAATAAAGTTCAAAAGAAACAAGTATTTATCCATCTAAACATAATTCACAAATAAATGATTTCTCCTTGCCTATATCTGAGCAATCTTCGTGACACCAACGCAGACACTTCATGCATTGGACCCACTTGGATCCAGAAATATCTTCAGAGAACCAGTTGGAACAATAAAAGCATTCCACATCGACATCATCTTGGTCCATGTCGTCATCCGTGTCTACCAATTGAATTTCATCACTATCAGAACTGCTAGATGAGCTTATCTTCCTCTTTCTTCCTTTTTTTCCTTTTGGGATCAATTTTTTATTGTTAACTTTTTCCTTCTCGTTTTTTAGTTTTGATTTATTTTGATTCAGGCTAACTTTTTTCGGTGTGATCTTTTTTCTTTTTTTCAAGCTCTCTTCTAAATCTGTCTTATAAGGCGTAGAAGTGAGGATAGCTGTTGAACCACGTTTACCTCCTTTTTTAGAAGCTTCACCCGAACAACCTGGCCTTGGAGACTGATGTTTTGTCTTTAGGCTAGGTATAGGACAAATATCCTGAGGTACAACGAGCTTAGGTGTCGAAATGGGTGGTGTAGTTTCTCTTTCTTTTCTTAAGTTTTCATCAACAGCAGGATCCACAGCAATCTGATTTTCGTCATTATCTCCTTCGACTGATTGTCTTTCATTTGAAGAATGGATGGCAAATTCGTCATCTCGGAAAATTGTCGGTTGGAATGGAAATATTCCACATTTTCTAAAACCATTCACTGCAATTTCACAACTCGCTGCTCTTTAATAGGCTCTTCCCATTAGTTCCGATATTTGATAGGAAGTTACAACTCTCCCTGGATTTGCTCTAAGCCATGTTTCAATTTCAGCAGCATAATAAGTTTTGAAAGGTGACATAAAGGAGACATCGAGTGGTTGTAACTTATTTGTAGAATGGGGAGGTAGGCAGATAATATGGACGAAATTATCTCTGGCAATGTTGATAACATCAATATTCCTTGAATGAGAATAGTGTCCATCTAATATCAAGACAACTTGTTCGGATTTGCTAGGTTTTACATGTAAAATAAAGTGCCTCAGCCAGTCTGTAAAAACGTCTTGCTGAATCCATCCCGATGGATGACATCTGGCAACGGACCCAGGGGGAGCTCCATTTAGAAGCTCAGGCTTCATATTTTTGCGGGGAAACACCAACATTGGTGGTATGTAACGACCGACAGCGTTCATACACGTTACAATAGTTACTAAAGCACCCCATTCCGAAGCAGTTAAAGCTGCAACTTGCCTTTTTCCTTTCAAACTTATCACTTTGGCATGTTTGTGTTGTACTGTCGTAATACCAGTCTCATCAACATTATAGATTGCTGCTGGATTAAATCCAACTTTTGTCAAAACGCTACCAATGAGGTTGAAAAATGCTTGAACATTCTCTTTTGTAAAACCCTTAACACGGGCTGCAGAAATTCCCTGTGGTTTTCGGAAAGACAATTTTGGGTGTCTTGACATGAACGATTTCAACCATTTTTTTTCCAGCAGCGGCACTTCGGCAAGAAAAAGGATGCTTAAGCCCATTACGTATCGCCAGCTGAAAGGCTAGTCTTCTTACATCTGACGCTCGGAGACCAAAATACCTTCTTTCCATTTCGAGAGCATACTCAACTAGTGCTTCTTCAAGTTCATTTGTTAAAGTAGGTTTTCTGCCTAATTTGATAGCAAGTAATGTATCAACCTTTTTCTTACTTATTACATAATCAATCAGTGTGCTTTTGGGCACGCCAAATGCTTTAGACGCCTTGAGAGTTCCCATTTCCTTGTTCTTAACTGCTTCTACTGCCCTCTTCATCGCTTTCTTTTTTCTTTGGAGGCATCTGTGAATAAACAGATGGTTAATAATTATAACTTCAATATAATGAAACAATATCTACGTCACAACATCAAGTGTTCCTTATATCGGGTACATGATATTTGGCATCTTTACATGCCCGATATTAGGAAACATAACCTTAAAATATTACGACAATATATCTTAAAAAGCAAATCGAAAGGGACATTTTTTAATCCTTAGTGGATGGCTGCAAGCCTACAGAAGACATATGAACATAAAAATAAACAAAAACAGACCTACCTTTTCATGAAAACACCAATTTAGTTAACACTTTCAAAATATTCGTGGCGGATTTCACACACTTCCCGTGTTTGTGGAAAGAATGAAGGTCACAAAAACATATGAACGTTACAGGTTGCATTTAATGTAGTTCCTGTTACATGTTGGTCATTACAACAGTAGATGGCTGTAGTAGCTCGTCTAATAAACCGCTGCCCGATATTCGGAACCTACCCGATATTAGGCATCCTTCCTCTACATATAAGGCCCCCCTTGAAATGCGGTCCTGTGTATGATGTTTCATTTTTGGTCACGACTTGTGAATCACCCTGTATAAATAATATATCTTTCGGACAGATTTCGCATTGATTTGATTTCCTATTGATTTTCTCAAATCGGAGCAGCAGTGAACTGCGACAAGCAGAAACGAATATAACAGCAAAGCTTGGCTATCCAATCTTGTGGGCTTGAGAACATTTTGTTAGTATAGTACTGTGTCTTACAGACATGAAATTGCACCAATACACCCAACCCTGGACAGTGAGGAACTACAGGTCTTTAATCAGAGAGCATGAGGCTGCTAGTCTTTTTCTATCCAGATCAACCGAATAAGACTATGGATGCCAGCGTGCAAAGTGCTGTCATCCACGAAGCTATAGTCACGATTTATCGTGTCAAAAAAAAGGTCGTTGATGTAGAAAAATATTCTTGGAACCAGATCCCTGAGGAACACTTGTTAAACGTCGATAATGCAACAATATGGCGGTCATAGCATGGAGGCTTGTAGAGCATGCTACAGATTATCGAAAGCCACTAAAATATCAGTTTTCTTAAAACAGCAAATCACTAGTCATTACGAAAAACTCACCTTTCTCAGATGACTTTTGCTTACCTTAGACAATTTATTAACCGATACGCTATTTTTAGACATTTGCATCATGAATGTTTCCGTATATCATATGATTCAGAACAAATTCGGTGTATGACAAAAAAAACAATCGTATTTATTCAGATTACAGCTTAATCTGTATACTGCGACTTATCAAATTCTTGTAGAAAGAGTATTATTACAAATATGTCGTAGCGCAGTGGTGGAAAACTATACGGAATGCTAACAGACGCTTGTTGTCCATTAACTGACCTATTGTTGACACTATTTAGGCAATTACAAGAGTTTGTATATTATTACTGGGTGTTTCAGTGTTTCTAGGACAGAAAGTACATCCAGAAATTAAAGAAAGGTATCTGCAAGCATAGGTTCTGAAATGTTCCATTACCAAAATACAAGATGTTTTAGATTTTTACGCCACTGATGAGACTGACTATGTCCATTGGTCAAATATATACTAAGTGCCTAACTTGTTTTCCTTACTATTATATTTAACAGCTTCAAATTCAATTATAGAACCTTGATAGAACTACAGTATTCAACAATATGGTTTCGGTTTATGAGATTCGCGTCAAAATCAAGAGTGTGTTGTTTGGTTGGCAGCACTGTGAACTGACAGAATCTATTACTTGATGTGAATTATTTGTTTGTTTATTGAAGATTTATTTAGAATCAGGCATCAGGTGGTCAATGTCCTCCTGTGGTATCTCATTCCAGGCAACCATCAACTCCTCTCGAAGTGCTTCTAGAGTCTGAGGAGGACGTTGCAAATTAAGCAATCTCCTACCCATCATATCCCACACGTGCTCAATTGGGGGTAAGTCGGGAGATCTTGGTGGCCATGGTAACAATGTGACATCATTATGTTGAAAGAAGTCTATTGTGACTCTTGCAACATGTGGTCGGGCATTATCTTGTTGGAAAGTTGGATCTGCCACGGTGTCAAGATAGGGTAAAAGATGGGGTTCTAGAACTTCGTGGATATAACGCTGCGCGTTTATGGTACCTCTGATGAAGATTAAAGGTAACCTGGAAGCATAAGCTATGGCACCCCAAACCATAACTCCAACAGTGTGATGAACATGTCTTTCAACAAAAAACTGTGGATTCCTCCTTTCACCACGTCGCCTTCTAACCCTGGCACGACAATCGTGCATGCCTAAACAAAATTTATTCATTCGTGATCCCAGAGTGACCGTTGTCTGCACCACTCAAGGCGATTACGTCGGTGTTCTCGAGTTAAAGGGAGGACCCAGTGTGGCCGGTATGAAAACAAGCCAAAACTCTCATTCGTCGGTAAACACTTCGCATGCCAATAGGTCTTCCGTGTTCTGCAAACCATTCATTTGCAATGGACCTGGTAGTGGAGAAACGGTCCCTTAAGGCCAATAATCTTAGGCGGCGATCTTCACGGTCTGTTATTCCACGGCGGCGTCCAGTGCCCCTTGCTCTTTGCGTACGGCCTTCTCGAAGCCATGCCTGACAACACCTAACCACAGTGTCTACACTTCTTTGCACTCTAACTGCAATTGCCCGAAAAGAAAGTCCAGCTTCCCGAAGTCCAGCTATACGGCCCCTATCAAACTCACTAAGTTGACGAAATCGTACAGGGTCTCCGTACTCTAGGCATCGTAACACATCGTAAAGGATGTCAAGAACCAAAATCCGCCAACGTTGATTCTTTACTGCGGCTGAAATATTCATTTTTAGAGTGTTAGTGAATTAAAAAAAAGCAGTATAAAAACCGGAATGTCCAACTGATAAGGCTGAACATTTTTTCACTTGTTATTTACAGTAAGATAAATACATTCACCAACTTTTATTAAAATAAAACCATTTAAACTGGGTGTACGTACGTCGATGATAAAATCACGATGACAGGAAAATAATGACAACAAATTTATATTATGATTTTGCGAAGTTAGGTTATTTCACTGATTATTCTTATTTTCATTTTACTTCATGGTTTTGAGTGATACCTTAATAATAATTTTAGTGAGGAGTTTTTGTTTTGAAAAAAACAGTTATGTATAGAATACCTTAAGACAGTGACACCAAAGACCAAAGTATTATTCGAAAACAACCTAACCTGCTTTCACCATAACCTAACTATTCATCTTTCAAATAAGATCGATCATGCAACATGAAAACATCGTCTATCTTTGTCGGATACATGCAACTTAGCAATACAGTTTGTTTAGACCACAAAATTCTGTTTGTCTCTGTCTAACATATCTGAAACTTCATTAAAAATATTCACAAATCGCTGTCGTTAGTCTTTACTACAGAAGTGATGACGTAATCGTCGTCTTTCGTGATTTCGACTATAGTGCTGTGACCAATTAGAATTGGTCTCCTATTTGGTAGTCGGAATACCAAGTATTTAGAGAGGGGTCGGCCATTTTGACACTACTGAAATGACATTACTGAAATGAGAGATAAGAAATATTTCATTCATATTGCTTCTGAAGTACCACTAATATGTTTAAAATATTTCATGAGATTTGATCCATATTTAGAGAAATAGATCGTTTCAATGTATCGGTTTATTGCGTGCATGACAATATCAATGTACACATATGCAGATCAACGGGTGTAGTGACAAAAAAGTAAAAAAAAGTGTGTTCTCGACTACTGTATCATTTCTTGTAGGTGGTATATTTGTTATGACTTTGTGTTGTTCCGTTTTGTCAATCCATGTAAACTATATTTGCGAAGAAAAGAAGACATCCACATACGGCATAATATACAGGGCGGGCCATAAAGGTGTTGGCAATTTCAATATTCAATAAAAAAATAACTACGCAATGTAAAATAAAAATAAATGTATATATAAAAAGTAGAAAATAATGTTGTTCAAATGACTTCCTTCCACTGCTTGACACTCTTGAAACCGAAGCTGCAGATTTTGGAAAACTCGTTAAAAAGTGGTTCTCGGTATTTTGTTACTTTCCTGAACAATATTCCTCTTCAGCTGTTCCAAATTAGTTGGATAATTCTCGTAGACCACCGACTTGAGGTAGCCCATAGGAAATAATCGCATGGAGAAAGATCGGGACTACGTGGTGGCCATTCAGTATCCCCCTTTTCGAAATGAGTTTTCCGGGAAAGACATTTTTCAGCTGCTCTATAGATACCCTAGCTGCTCGACATGTGGCCCCATCTTGTTGAAACCACATTCTATAGGTATTGCCTTGGAATTCTTGCAATGCTGGCACCAAAAAGTCTGCTATCATATTGCAATAATTGTTAGCTTTAACTGTCCTCTTGCCCTCTTTGGTCCTCAAAAAAGTACGGTCCAATAATATCGTTTGACGTAATTCCAGCCCACATGACTAGTTTAGAGCTGTGAAGTGGACGTTCATACAAGCGTCGGGGATTAGTTTCGGACCAGAACCGATAATTTTTTTTGTTAACATGGCCATTGAGGTGAAAATTGGCCTCATCACTAAACATCACGTTGTTAAAGCTGTTGAATCGGTCGATCATCAAATTGACAAAGTCAAGTCGGTTATTGGCATCATCTGGTTTCAATTCTTGGACTAGTTGAATCTTATAAGCCTTCAAATGTAAATCACGCTTCAAAATTCGTCGCAAGCTCGTTCTTTTGATGTCCAAAGCCTGACTTCTCTTACGTGTTGACTATTGCGGATTTCGCTGAAGTGAAACACGCTGATCTTGCAGAAACTGGACGTCCACGAGCTATTATTGCTACTGTCGAGCCGGTTGTTTCACACATTTTGATCCATTTACGTATCACATTGAATGGCGCTTGGAAATTCTCTTAACCGATTTATTGTTGTCAAGCGAGTTTTTGAATTTGAATAAATTGGTTCAACTTACCATAAAGAACAAATATGAAGACCAAAAGGGGATTACTGTTAACTGGTTGAAAGTGAAATGCTTCAAATATGTTCCTAAACATACTTTACTATAAGTCTGGCGATGAGTAAGGTACCCGGGGGTAATAAGGCCCACCAGATATTAAGGCCCAACGCTGGTTTGCCCAAAGGAAAGCGCCTAAAATATTTATATCGCCATCTGTTAAGAATACTTAGTATTACTGTTGCCGGAAATGTAATTTTGTTCTATGGTTATGAGCTTCCTGGCTTGTTCTATGGTGTCACGTTTCGCTGTGCTGTATTTTATAAGAATTTCGACCGGTAAGTAAGCAAATTAAATTGTTTTAATAATACG